CGCTATGGGATACCACATTACAGCTGTTAAGGTGGTTATGATTTTTAAAAAGTCAAAAAATAACAAATGTTTGCAAGAGTATGTAGAAAGAGTACTTAAAAACAGAACTACCATATGACCCAGCGATCCCTCCGCTGGGCATACACCCAAAGGAAATAAAGTCATCACGTAAAGATTCTGCATTCCTATGTTCATTGCATCATTATTCACAATAGCCAAGATATGGAAACAACCTAAATGTCTGTTGATAGACAAATGGATAAAGAAACTGTGGTACATATACAATGAAATGTTACTCAGCCTTTAAAAAGAATGAGACCTTTTCATTTACCACAACATGGCTGAGTCTGGAGGACATTATGTTAAGTGAAACAAGCCAGACACACACACACAAAAATATATATATTGTATGATCTCACTAATTAAATATAGAATCTACAAAAAGAAATCAAATATACAGAGACAGGGAGTAAAACAGTGGTTACCAGGGACAGATGGGACAGAGAGGATGAAAGGACAAGATGCTGGTCAGAGGACACAAAGTGGCCAAATATGTAGGATGAACAAGTCTAGAGACCTAAAGTACAACATGAGCACTGTAGATAATAAAACTGTACTGTATGTGGAATTCATGTTAAATAAGTACATTTTAGTTGTTCTTGCCATAAAACAAAACAAAAAAATGGGTAACTCTGTGAAATGACAGAAATGTTAATTTATTTCAATGTAATAATCTTTATATTAACTACATATATCCCACAACATCAGGTTGCACAGCTTAAATACACAAAATACAACTTACTAAAAATAAATAAATAAAAAGATAATTACATTTAAACTTGAGTTTTAGAGGTAAAACTCAAGAAAAAAGGGCAAATCAGGGCCCAGTGGGTAAGCAATTTTGGGGCTGATGGGTGTGTCCTTATCTTGATTGTGGGGATGGTTTCACAGGTATATACATACATACATCAAAACTTACCAAATTATACACTTTAAATATGGGCCATTTATTATATGCCAATAACATCTCAAAAAAAAGTTGTTAAAAAAAATGTTTTTAACTCCTAGATTTAAAAAACTATAAAATATTATTGGAAAGATATATGATGTTCATGAATTGGAAAACTAGATATTATAAAGATTTCCATTCTCTTCAAATTGACCTATAGAAACAATGTAATCTAATCAAGATCCCAGATTTTTAATAATTTCATTTGCTGATTTCAAAATATATATGGAAATGCAAAAGGCAAAGAACACGTAAGACAAGCTTGAAGAATAACATGAAAGGAATTGCTCTATCCATATCACGACTATATATAAAGCAACAGTAATCAAGATAGTAGAATAATGGCACTTCGATAGACAAAAAACCAGGGGATCGAAGAGTCCAGAAACAGATGCTTGCACATATGAACAACTGATTTATAACAAAGATAGGACTGTAAAGTAGTGGGGAAAGAGTAGTCCTTTCAATAAATGGAAATGAATCAATTAAACTTTCATATAAAATGTATTTCTCCTAATTCATACCACAAATGCCAATTTCAAGTAAATATCACACCTAAATGTGAAAGGTAAAACCATAAACTTCTAAACAATTACATTAGAGAACATCTTTGTGATAAAAGTACAGGGAATCACTTCTTAAACAGATCAAAAAAGCACTAACCACAAAAGGAAAGATGTAAAATTAAACTGGATTAAAATTCAACGGAAGGTCCAATTAAGAACATTATAAAAATCAAAAGAAATAGCTGCAAGATGGGTGATGATATGTGTAATATCCAAAACTGACAAAGTGCTCATATAGAAAATAATATAGGTCAGGTACGGTGGCTCACACCTGTAATTCCAACACTCTGGGAGGCCAAGGTGGGCTGATCACCTGAGGTCAGGAGTTCAAGACCAACCTGGTCAACATAGCGAAACCTCATCTCTACTAAAACTACAAAAAAATTAGCTGAGCGTGATAGTGCATGCCTGTAATCCCAGCTACTCGAGAGGCTGAGGCAGAAGAATCACTTAAACTCAGAAGGTGGAAGCTGCAGTGAACTGAGATCATGCCATTGCACTCCAGCCTGTATTGCAAGAGCAAAATTCTGTCTCAGAAAAAAAAAAAGAAAGAAAAAGAAAATATATAAAGACCTCCTACAAAACAAAAACAAAAAGACAATCAACCCAACTGAAAAGTGGACCAAAGATGCAAACTGGCCTTTCAAACAAGAAAATAACCAACAGCCTACAAACATAAGAAAATATGTTTATCATCAGTAGTAATCATGAAATGCAAAAGAAAACCAAAATGTGATACTATAAACATCTATCATAATGGACATTATTAAAAGGACAAATAATAGCAAGTGTTGTGGCTGGGTGCGGTTGGCTCAAGCCTGTAATCCCAGCACTTTGGGAGGCCAAGGCGGGTGGATCACAAGGTCAAGAGATCGAGACCATCCTGGTCAACATGGTGAAAACCCGTCTCTACTAAAAATACAAAACATTAGCTGGGCATGGTGGCGTGTGCCTGTAATCCCAGCTACTCAGGAGGCTGAGGCAGGAGAATTGCCTGAACCCAGGAGGCGGAGGTTGTGGTGAGCCAAGATCACGCCATTGCACTCCAGCCTGGGTAACAAGAGCGAAACTCCATCTAAAAAAAAAAAAAAAAAAAAAATAGAAGTGTTGGAAAGAAGACCAACATGCATTTGCATACACTGTTATTGGGAGTGTAAATTAGTGCAACTACTTTGGAAATCTATTTTTTGGTGTCTACTAAATTTGAAGACATCTAGGATCTGCATTCCATATGTACCATGAGAAATGCATGCACATGTAACCTAAATATTGAATAAGAGTGGTCACAGCAGTATTATCCACAATAGCCCCAAATTTAAAATAATCCAACTATCTGTAGCTATCGAATGTTAAAATATATTGCCATATAGTCACACAACGGAATACTAAGGAACAATAAAAATGAGCCAAATGCAAGAATCTGACACAAAACCCTAATGATTAGCAAAAGAACTCAGAGACCAAAGAAACATGTCCTATATGGTTCCATTAATACAATGAGTTCAAAATGGGAAATTACAGGGTTAAAAGCCAAAACAGTGATTACCTTTAGAAAGCAAGGAGGAATTAATAACTGGAAAGAGAAATGAGAAGTTTTCCTGGATGCTGGTAATATACCATTTCTAGATCTGAGACGTGATTAAATGGGCATGTTCAACTCATGATAATTCATCAAGCTATACCACTGATACATGTATTTTCTTTATGTATACCTCCAAATTTTAAAAATTAAGAATAAAAGAAGACAAAGCTTTGGCAGTTTCCTTTGTGTTTCACTTTCGAATTTATGAGACAGAATATTAGTTAGGAATTTAAAGAGGACCTTAGAGCAGCATGCTTAAATGTGTACTTCAGCTCTTATTTAGTATGTAAATCAGACAATAGCAGACATTTCGTGCTGTGTGAACTACTGCAATTAACTACGAAAAGCACCAATCTGTTAATCTCAGAAAAGACCTCTTCTTGAAGTATGTGATGTTTTAGATATTTTAGACTGGTACAATTTAAATTGAAGGTGTCCTTGGTAGGCCAGAAAAAAACTACAACTTTATGCAAAAAAAGAAATATATCTTGAAATCACACATTAGCTACCACATTGCTATACATTAATTGCAAAGATGTTGTCTACTTCAGCATAAGACAAGTATTGTATCTTCATCTTTCAAAGGCTCTTCACAAAATGCTTAATACCAAAACCACAAAAGAAAAGTACTTTTATGTAGCCAAGTGATTATTCATATTTTTGAAATAGGTAAATTTCACTACAAGAGAAGTTTTCAAATATCTTATTTTCAAAAAGATCAACTAAGTTGCACATGAGATATTAACCAAGAGTGGTCACTACAGTATTATCCATAGTAGCCCCAAATTTAAAATAATCCAACTATCTATCTGTAGCTATAGAATATTAAAATATATTGCCATATATCCATACAACAGAATACCAAAAAACAATAAAAATTAACAAAATGCAACAAAGTTGATCTTTTTGAAAATAGGGTATACTCATCTCTTAGCACATGCAACCAGTAAATTCAAACTCCAAAATGAACTCAATATATCTATGTAAGGAAATGTAAACAAATTAACAACTGGAGAAAAATTATCTACTTTTACTAGAAAATTTTCAATTTAAATAAAATATATTAAGAAAAAAAAAACCCTGCTAACTTTCCTTATCTTGGAAAAAAAAAGGCATTATGAGAAATGAATACACAAATAAATACACTCCTGAAGTTGACAAATTTGCAACCATTTAGGGACCATTAACAGTTTTCTCCTAAAGAGAAAAACTGATGATATAAAGAAATGAACACTATATGGATTCTATTTTTTTACTTTAATTCCACCAAGGACAGTGATTTGATAAAAATAAATCACTGAACAATGTGTCAACAATATGACTCTGAAATAATAAAGCTTGGGAATTAGGAGTATTTTCAACTGGAACCATATCAGACAAAAACAGACAGCAAAGAGGTCTTTGTAGCATTTATAACTTACACACGTGAGATGACCTGAAAATGGGCAGTGCCACAAAACCACTATGAAAAGCATTCTGCATTCCTCAAATATCATTTAATAAAAACTATGGAAAAGTCACTAAGCCAGAAAAACTTAAATTATCTTTCAAATAGTCATAACAAACTCAAACAGTTAAAACAAATGTTGACTCTATCTCTAGTATGCTAATACTGTAATGTATTTCCCTAAATACAAATATCAAATAAATATAAACATAAATAAATCAAATATAAATAGCCAAAATTCATGAACATTTTATAAGAGCTTCAAGAACATACTTTTAGACAACATGGGACACACTGCCCAAAAGGTTAAAATCTACTAAACTTCATTGTAATTATGACCAGCCCACCTACCCCCTATGTATGAAATAAAACTTTTTATTGAAAAAGAGGTCTCACCACTTCTTGTTTCTGGGCTTCATTAAGTTTTTCAGTCAATTCTTCCAAGGCCCTTTTTGTTTCAGCATCCGACCTCAGCCAAAAAAAAAAAAAAAAAAAAAAAAGAGAGATTTTTACTTGGATATTTAGAAAATGTACAGAACTAGTGAAATGCATAACATGACAATTATGTTATTACAAAACATTCTACTTTAGCGGTTCTCAAATGTTATAAACATCTGAAACACCTGGAAGGCTTGTTAAAACAGACTGCTGGATCCCTCCCTCCGCCCCTAAATTTCAAATCAGCAAATCTCAGATGAGGAGCAAGAATGTGCCTTCCTAAAATCCCTAGGTGATGCAGGAATAGAGGTCTGGAGGTCTGGAGACCAAACTCTGAGAGCCACCGCTACACTGGAACATCACTCTCAAACAAACATGTTGCAATATCTCCCATTTTAAATTAAGAAAAAAGAGAAACAGACAAAAGAAAACAAAACTTCTTGATCTTACACCCTCTTTCTAGCAATTCCTAAAGAAATAATCTCAGAGTGTCCTGTACAAACTCTATCCTCACTAACCTCCCATTACTTTGTTTTTCATCAAATTAATAATATACATGATAAACAAAATAGTACAGAAAGATTTACAAAGAAAAGAAAAAGCCTTTCTTTCTTGCACTGTCTTACTTCTGGCTACCCTTCCCTCCAGGAACCATGCACAACTATTTCCATTATTAATTATTTTGCTGGTTACCTTCATCATGTTCAACACGAGACATTTTCGATTGACTCTGTTTTGAAATATTTAGCTCATTCTCTAATTTCAGATGTTATTACTACTTTTAGTTCTATTGGTTACCTGCAGAGTTTTATGTAATATATTTATACATCTTAGGAATTTTATGAATTATTCCATCCTATGCAGCTGATAGAATTGATGTTTTGTGCTCACATTTCAGTCAGCTTCACACTTGGATCATAACTTCCTTGTGCTTTTGTTTTTTCCATGCTTTCTCATTATCTTTTGGCTTTATATGTGCCTTACTTAACACATCACTGATATTTTCCTCCCACTTCTTACTGAATGGTCAACAAACCACCTATTTCATTCTTTTTGACAACCTTCTTCTCAAAGGACACTTACTTTCCTGCTCTAATTTACAGTGAATACTTCCTGAGCCTGTTCCATGATTGTCATTCCAGGGTTACTTTTCCTGAATCTTCAGGTTAATTTTACTATTTCTTAAAATCGTTGTGTTTCTGTTTCTTGGTTACAATATTATGTTACTTATATATCCTTAGGTAATTTCCTGAAAAAAAAAGTTCCCTTAAAATAGTAAATTTTCAAAGACTTTAAACCTCTGAAAATGTCTTTCTTCTTACCCCTTTCTTGGCTTTTGTGGTTTTATGCTCTCTGAAATTACCCCCATCTCACTAGCTATTCCGTCTCAGGCCAGCTCCTCCTTCTATCATAAGACTCCTAGATATTGTAACTCCTTGGAACTCAGTCTTGTCCTTGACATCCTCCCTATAGTTTCTCTCTTGGTATTATCCATTCCCATGGCTCCAAATGACACTTCTACATGCTGACCACTCTTAAAATTTACCTTTTACAGAGACTTTTCCTTTGAGCTCCATAGTAAATATCTAGCTGAATATTTTACTTTCCATCTGAATGTCTCACAGGCATTTCAAACATAACATATCCAAGGCCAAACTCTCTGCACCTCACCTACCCAAACCACTCTTTAATATCTCAGGAAGTGGAATTACCATCTACCTAGTTACTCAAATTGAAAATCTTAGCGTCATCCTTAGTTGATTCTCCCTCACCCACCATATCCAATCTATCACCAAATCCTGTCTCTTTGATTTCCAAAACACGTATCTTAAAACACACCCCTGTCCATCTCTCTCTTGCCATAATCCTGGGTCAGGCCATCATCAACTCTTACATGCTAGTGCAACAGACTTCTACCTTGCCCTCCTCAAATCATTTTTTTTTTCCTTCGTGATAGGTTTCACTCTGATACCAAGGCAGGAGTGCAGTGGCGCATCTCGGCTCACTGCAGCTTCAACCTCCTGAGTTCAAGCAATCCTCCCACCTCAGCCTCCCAAGTAGCTGGGCCCACAGGCATGTGCCACCACATCCAGCTGAATTTTTTGGTATTTTTGTTAGAGACAGAGTTTCACCATGTTGCCCAGGCTGGTCTCAAACTCCTGAGTTCAAATGATCCACCTGCCTTAGCCTCACAAAGTGCTGGGATTATGGGCCTGAGCCACTGTGACCAGCCCAATCAATTCTTCATATAGCATCCACAGTAGGTGATTTCTGAATTAAACTTTACTTAATCCTTTCCAAAAGCTTGCTTCCAAGTGTACTTTCATTATTCAACATACATTTTGTAATAAACATCAAAAATGAAAAATTAGTGAGAATTAATGAGAATTAATTAGAATACCAATCTTTCAACATCAAATAGAAAGTTAAACTTTTTAACTTCCTGTCCATTATTTTTATAAACATGAAGTAAGAATTTATGGTACAAGGAAAGCAGAACTGGATCCAGAAATTTTACACATTCACAAAGGTAAGCCACCTCCTTTCCCAAGAAATCCAACTCCCATTTTCGGTTAAATGCAGTTTTCTGCCTCACACATGCCTCTAGGTCACAAAGATGATTACCAGATACTAAGAGCCCAGTCCAATACTGCTCATTCAAATGGCCATTTAAACTAATTAACTAAATCATCCCTGCAACTTCCCCTGTATCTTCTCACAAAATACCGTACAAGCACTGTAACTGATGTTCCCAGTGCTTAATTTATATACTTACTTGAAATGGGTAGAGCTTGTGTAATAAAACCATTCATACAATAAAGTGTTAATGTCATTCTGTTAATTTTATCAACTTGTAAAAAAAAAAAAAAAACCTAAATATTAAATTAATTAAGTCTCACCAGTTTAAAAGATTAGCAATATAGCTCAATAATATATCTCACAATCCAGGAATTTAAATGCTTTATTCACATCAACGACATGTGAAAATGATTCTGAACCACTATATTCTGTAAGTGATAAAGTGCAGAGACTTTGGGGCCTTATTGTCTAGATTTTAATTCTGACTCCACTATAACCCTCCTGTTTGATTTCTAGCGAGCTGAGTTATTTCATCTCTCTGTGCACATTTCCTCATCCATAAAATGGAGAAAAAAATAATGATTACCTCAAATGATAGTTGCTAGAATTAAAGTTAAATCATGAAATAAGGGCCAATAATATTAGCTAATAGCAGTAGTAATAATGATGACAGCTTTCCTTCTTATTACAGCCTATACTTGATATTCAGAGATTTAACATTTAGAGTTTTGATGATATTTGTTGCAGCAACACAGAACTGGTGCATGGTATAATTTACATAGGTGAAGTTAGCAAGCAAACATGGCATACAAATTTCAATTCAGCTTTGTTGCTCCCTAACCTTTGCTGCATATGGATTGTGATTCTTAAAAAGGCACAAAAGTCTTCGTTTTTTAGCAAAACATAGCTCCAAAAGAAAGCCACCTGCCACTGGTGATGACAAAAACGAAAAGACAGTAAATAAGTTTTAAAGTAAATAACAGCTGTTGAGGACTATCCAGAATTGACAAAACTGCAAAGATGTTCACCATTGACCCTCAGAGATTTCAACTAAAAGCTAAAGTATTGGATTCTACAATGGCTTTTGTCCATTGACAAACTCCGTGTTACACTGCTTTTTTTGTGTGCAGTGCCAAAAGTCAGTCAGCTAGCAAGTCAGTCTTTGTCTCTCTCTCTCCAGTGTATTTGCAAATCTGCCTGTTTGCGAAGGCCTCACAGTGTATCCGCTCATAACGTCAGCATTCCATTGTATTAAGTTAAAGTGTAAAGAAATAGGAAATTAATTTGTCTAACACTGAATCATGATATATTCTAAATTCAAAGCGTTGTAAACTGTTCTGCTAATAAATTTTAAGATACTGTATTAAAAAAACAAGTTTTTTAAAAAAATCTACATAAATATATCCATTACAGAAGCTAACTTATTCTCCTCATAATTTATCCCTCTCATAAAAACCATAATCTGCTTTTACCGGCTCCTTCTGGAAAGCTCCCTGTTGAAATCATCTCCAAGGCGAATCTGTTCACTGCTGAGGTCTCGAAGAGACTGATGAAAAGCATGAAGCTAGCAAAGGCAAAACACAGTTATCCATTTAGACTTTTGTTGAATTCTTCCATGAAGATTCACCAAAGGTAAGAATAAGATCTCATTCTTTGTAATAATAACCAGATTCTATATTATTATGAAAAAATAAAATGCCTATTTTCAAAGAAGAAAAATTTCCAAGAAAAACAAACTGTTAAAAGCTGTATGTAACATTTAACATCACATGTTCTACAATACAACTCTACTCTCCCAGAATTCTACCCCTCTAGAAAGGGTCTGCTTCCTCCTTAGAGTAAAAGAAAAAGACACAAAGAGAGAGAGAGAAAGAAAGAGAAAAGGGATCTGCCAACTTTTTCTGTAAAGGGACCAACAGTGACTATCGCAGGTTTACAAGGTGTATGGTCTCTGTCACAGTTACTTCTGCCACTGCAGTGCAAAAGTAACTGTAAACAAATAAGCATGGCTCAATTACAATAAAACTGTATTCTATCAGCCTACAATGCCTCAGTTTGCCAACCCCTGCTGTAAAGAAACTCTTGCCCATGTACACTTGGAACCATGTACAAGAAAATACGGTGCAGCATTATTCATAATGAGAACATGAGAAACGAACCAAATGTACACCAAGATAAATAAATTGTGGTATATTCCCCCACTGCAGTATCATATAACAGTGAAAATGAAACAATCAAAGATACCCACACATTAGTAAAGCTGAATGTCAAAAACATAACTTCAAATAAAATAAGCAAGTTACAAAAGATTACAGTAGTATCCCATTTATACAAAGTTTAAAGGCAAGCAACACTAAACAAGATGTAGGTCGTAAAAATAATATTTTTTTCAAAAAGCAGGAGCAATGTCAGGATAAGAATAAAGTCAGGATAGTGGATACCCCTTGGGAAAAGGAGGAGTATAAAAGAGGCTTGGGGGTAGAGCAGTGCTTTATGTAGTGGCCTAGGTGGGGGTTATATGGTGTTCATTCTCATTATTGTACCTTTAACTGTAAATACATACACAGAATATAAATACTATCATTTGTAATAAAAATATGTTAAACAGACTTGCAAAAACAACAAATTGACTCATTTCAACAAATGCACATTAAGCAATTTATCAGTGCCATCTCCTGAGAAGTGGCTCACAATCTGATATGAGAGTCAGATATACAAACAAACCCCAAATTCTTTACGGGGGCTTCAAGAAAGTACAAAGTCAAGAGGAGCTAAGAGTAATCTTGAGAATGAACTTAATGAGGAAAAACCATAAAAAGGAAGGAGTGAAGTAGTATAGTGAATGAAAAACTTCAGTTTTGCCACGGTTTTCCAATTTAACAAACCAGAATCCTGGGATGCATTTGACACCTGCTTTTCGTTCATTCTTGCCTTCCCCACATGGCTATCTAATTTCCAAGACCTTTCCATTTTCTCAACTAAATAGCTTTTAATTCTACCTCCTTCTCTCCAACTCAATCTATCCTAATCCAGGTGACCATCAATTCATACCCAGAACACAGCAATATCCTTCTAATTGGCTCACCCACCTTGACTCCATTTTCCACACTACAGCCAGAGTGATCTTTTCAAAATAATTTTGCCAGCCCTCTTACATGGCTCTACATGATGTCAGCCCTTCATACTTCCTTAGCCTTGTGGGCCTTCTTTGAATTGCTCATAGGGGCTATCTTCCCTTCTGCCAAGCTTGTTGTACCTGGAATGTTCTACCTGGAATGACTCTTACCATTCTTACTCAACTTTCAGATGTCAGCTCAGTCAGCCTTTCTTCAGGAAGCCTTCCTTGACTGGGGCACGTCCTCTACCATAGACTTCTGTAACCTTATGCATCTTTCCACTATAGCATGCATCTCAGTTCATCATTAAGGTTGTATTTTGTATTTGATAACTAGCTCCTCCTCTAGATTATAAACTTATTAAAAGACAAGTTTTCTGCTCATCACTGTTTCCAAGTGTAAGCATTATCCCAATGACAGAGACATTAAACAAACAGAAGGAAAGAGTAAATGAATACTGGTAAGATATTGCTCTCTCTTCTGGGTTTTATCATATAGTCCATGCTAGCAAGGTGCAACTATCAAAAAAATCACATAGTCAAAGAAAAGTTTCCACAAGTTGTTTCCTACTGCATTTGATTCTGTTGTCTCTTTATGCAGTAACAAATGATGGCTACAGATGAGTATCTTAAAATACACTTTGAGGACATAATCCTAAAAATATCAAAACAAAGGGATGAAAGTGCAGAACTCTACCTAGCCCTTTTCTGTTTAATTTAGCTACTTAAGACAACAAAAGGAAAAATTATAGCTCTGCAGAGAACTCTAAGGAAGCAGAAAAATATCTCCACACAACTAATATTTCAGAAATTTTTAGTGAATACATCAAGTATGGAATTTGTTACTTAATAGAAAATGGCTCTATCAATGATTCAACAATCAGAAAAACACTGATGGTAGAAAAATCATTAACCACACAAAATAACCACACAAAGATTAACTTGTTCATACTAAACCAAACTTAGTAAAATAGAAAGTAGCTGACTTAGCATGGCTTACAGAAAAATGAGCTAAACAGGAAAGGAAACAAAACATGTCCAATTAAGCTCAATTTTAAACGTTCTGCAAGATGTACTCCTCCAAAACTCAAAATGAAGGGAAGATGATTTATACATTGAAAATAATCTAGTTTACTTGAAAAATCCTGTATTAACAATCTTATATTCACATAGAATGACAAAAGATCCCAAATAGCCAAAACAATCCTGAGCTAAAAGAACAAAGCTGGAGGCAGCACACTCCCTAATTTCAAAACATTATAAAGTGATTGTAATCAAAACAGCATGATACCAGCATAAAAACAGACACATCAACCTATGAACAGAGGAGAAAACCCAGAAATAAACCCAAACATTCACAGTCAACTGATTTTTTTATGAAGGTGCCAAGAACACACAATGGGAAAAGCAGAGTCTCTCCAATAAACTGTGCTGGCAAAACTGCATGTACATCCAGAAGAATGAAATTAGGTCCTTATCTTACAACGCACTTAAAAATCAACTCAAAAAGGATGAAACACTTAAAAATAAGACTTGAAAATGTAAAACCACTAGAAGAAAACATAGGAGAAAATCTCCATGACGTCTGTTTAGGCAACGATTTCCTGGATATGACCCCAAAAGCACAAGCAATAAAAGCAAGAATAGGCAAATGGGATGACATCAAACTATAAAGCTTCTGCATAGCAAAGGAAACAATTAACAAAGTGAAGAGACAATCCACAAGATGGGAGAAATATCTGCAAACCATATATCTAACAAGGTGCTAACATCCAAAATATGTAAGGAACTCCAACAACTCAACAGCCAAAAAAAAAAAAAAAAAAAAAAAAAAACCATTAAAAATGGGCAAAGAATCTGAACAGACATTTGTCAAAAGAAGACATACACATGGTCAGTAGGTGTATTTTTTAAAAAATATTCAGCATCAGTAAACTTTATGAAAATCCAAATTAAAACCACAATGAGATATTGCCTCACACATGTTAGAATGGCTTTTATCAAAAGGATGAAAGATAAGCATTGGAGAGGATGTGGAGGACAGGGAACCCTTGCACCCTATTGGTGGGAATGTAAATTAGTACAGTCATTATGGAAAACTGGAGGGAGGGTCTTCAAAAACTAAAAACAGGACTACCATATGACCCATTAATCCCATTTCTGGATATGTACCCAAAGCTACTGAAATCAATATGTCAAAGGGATATCTGCACTCTAGTGTTTATTGCAGCATTATGCACAATAGCCAAGATCTACAAACAAGCTAAGCATGTATCAGTGGATGAATAAAGAAAATGTAGTATATATACACAATGCAATACTATTCAGCCTTTAAAAAGGGAGAAATCCTGTAATCTGCAAAAACATAGATGAATCTGAAGACGTTAAGTAAAAAAGATTAGGCACAGAAAGACAAATACCATATGATTCTACTTGTGTATGAATTCTAATAAAGTTGAACTCACAGAAATATAGGGTAGAATAATGTTTATCAGAGGGTGGTGGGTAGAGGGGGTAAAGAGGGAGAGAAAGAGAACTTGTTGATCAAACAGTCCAAAGTTTCAGAACGACAGGAGGAATAGGTTTTGAGATTTATTGCACACCAGGGTGACCAGTGTCAATAACAACATATTATATATTTCAAAAAACTGCGAGAATAAATTTCAAATGTCTCACCAAAAAAAATGACAGATAAAGAAGGTGATTTATGTTAATTAACTTGATTTAATCATGCCACATTGCATACATATATTAAAACATCATATTATATCCCATAAATGTATATAACTATGATTTTTCAATAAGAAAAAAATAATAAAAAGTAAAAGCAGTTTACTTGGTTCAAAAAAAAAGGTAACAGTATAAAGTTACTAATGATGAAATTCTTGGTTAAAATATAGCCTTAAAGTTCATGTGTTAGTCATTTATATATAATGGAAACATAAGGAAATACTACACACAAATTACAAAATGGTACAAAGTACCTGAGCCATTTCATCAGTCTCTTGAACAAACCGGACACCAGCTCTGGCTCTCATTCGTTTAATACCCTGTGTATCTCCATAGTCCTTGAGAGGTGAGGTAGGTGGAAAACGATGGCTCTCTTTGCAAGTGAAAGAAAAGGGAAGGGATTAAAACATTGCATGAGAAGAGACAATCAAAAATTTTACTCAGTACAAACATGGCAGACATGGACATACATATACACATGTCCCAAACCCAGACTATTTCTCAAGTATCTTGCTGTGGCCACAAAGCTCCACTAAATTAGTGTTAATCTTATTCTTAAAGCAGATTAAACAAACCATAGAAATAACCTGGAAATAGAACACTCAAAAGTTTCAATTTGCTATAGTTTCCAAAGAAGCAACATATTTTCTCATATAAAAATAATAAATTGTTAAATAAAAACTTTTATGACTCCTTAATATAACTTAATACTAACAAACACAATTTTTCAAACTACTTAGTCTACAATTTGAAGAGCATATAAAAATAAAAACCAACTACATGAAAAAGAATAGTGCTCAACTTTTAATTATTGTTATAATCAATGGTAATATTAACAATGTAAGGTACCAACGTTGAATTATCTAAACCACCTCCCTTCCCTGCAGGCTTTTCGATTCAAACATGAATCTCTGTGCTATAGAAAAGTGTAATAAGATTAATTAAGACAAACTGTTATAACCTCTAAGCTAGCCATGCATATCTAGCTGCATGCCAATACTAAAATTCACCTGATCTTAACAAGTATCACGGGATATTTCATAAGACATGTGAAAAACTATTATGCTAAGATAAGACACCTAAACTAAAAAGTGTATCACATAGCAAATCCTAGTTATGTATTTGTTTTGATTCTTTGGTAGCAGACAATTAAATCCAACTTTTTATCAGGTAAAGCTGTAATGTGGTCTACAGAGTCTGAGAGAAAAAATAATATAACAACAAAGATCCTTTAATATTTTTCAAATTATGTATTACAAAATTCGTGACAACTACATGTTCTATCATCCAATCTGCATGAAGTTACGTGTGGGTTGTATTTCTCCAAAAAATTCAATGTACTCAATACGGACTTCAAAAATATTTTTTAAATGAAAAATGTTTTTCAGAACATCTGAAGTGCTTACCTGGCCCAGTGCCACCATCAAGGTCACTTGCACTCAAACTTGTAACAGAAACACTTCTCCCTCCTGAGTTTCTCAATAAACGTTGACTCCGCAGTTGGTCGATTGATTGTTCCAAGCTTTCTTTTAACTAATTTAAAGAATATAATGAAAGAAGCATTATTCTTCTTAAATAACTTCCAAATACAAACATATCACAGATTTCCAAAGCTATTTCTGAAATATCTGGGTTCCCCCAAAAAAAAAATTTGTATCAGAGAAAATTTTAAACTAAGCTATGTTTAAAAACAGTAAATATCAATATTTTAAGAACCAACACTAAAGTCTGGTTTTAAAAGGCATCTGTCACTACCCTCCCATTTTTTATTGCCAGATGTGGAAGAGATGTCTACTACGTAAGGGCTTACAAAACCAAATTGAAATGTCTAATTGGTGCACCACTCATGCGAAGAAACATAACAAAGTCAACACAACTCAAAGAAGAGAGAAGGCTTTCCTCCACTCTAAACATTCCTTCAGAAAGTCCAGGTCTACAACAAATAGAAAACCAAACCCAAACAGCTGTCACAGTGACAGCCACTACTAAAACAATGTACACTGCTCGACTCTATTATCAGAACACCTCTTTCAGTCATTCAAAAACTTCAAATCCCAGAAAACGATTGGGTCACATATCAGACTGCCAGTACACACTAAGAATTACATTTGTCCAAATGCTTTATTCAGATTATTAAGGAGTCAGCCAACAGATGACATATAAAAACATATTTTTAGACCTAAAGAGCTACATTTAATAAAAAAACATGCTAAACACTGAGAATAATGTCCAGAGCTATACAAAACTACAGACCTAAGAAGAGGATTCCATGAAGAACCAAGAGAAAAAAAAAAGTAAAGCTGAAGAAACTCCATACACCTTGAATTGCTGGAAAACTTCAGGTCTAGATTCAAGGATGGATAGAAAGCAATGATTTTAAACATAATGCATGGATCCATGGAACAAGTCATCTATAACTCTTTAAATAGAATGTCAAAACAAAACAATTAATTGAAAGACAAGGTTTCCTAAATTCAGCCAGCGTTAAAAGAACACCATTTACGGAGAGAACAAGTTTTACTTGGGGAAATGAGCAGACAGAAAGGAGCCTCAACTGAAAGAAAAGCACAGATGGAACAGAATATGAGTCACAAACAAAGCAAACCCTTTTTCAGTTGGCTATTTGGATTTAGCTGTTCTGGAGAATCAAAATTGAAACACTCTGTATTAAAAGAAGTAGTGTCAGAATTTCAGAAATCTACTTCTTTTGTCCCTCTCATTTCTGAAAGAAAAAAAGAGAAGGATTTCCACATCCTTCTGTCTCCTCCTTCCCTAAACTGGGGTATGTGCAATAACATCCTGCCCTGAGTATTTGCCAGCCAGCTGTAAGACTCAGCACTGGCCCAGCGTGGTGGATCATGCTCATAATCTCAGCACTTTAGGAGGCCAAGGTGGCCGGATCACGAGGTCAGGAGTTCAAGACCAGCCTGGCCAACATGGTGAAACCCAGACTGGGTGACAGAGCGAGATTGTCTCAAAAAAAAAGGCTCAGCATCGATCCACAGAACATACTATGAGGCCCAGGAAAACCAAGGTACACCTTGAAAGTAATTTACAAATAAGTAAAATAACATATAAGTAGACGAGAGATCTTATGTAGTGACCACAAAGTAGTGTATCAGTAATCTATGACAAAATTATCCGAACAAAATTAAACAATGTTAAAGCTAAAAAGCTCAAATTCAAACTGTAACATGAGAAACAGACTAGAAATATAAAGTGACTTTAGATCATACAAATTAGTGTCAGAATAAAAAATGTAAAATCAGCTCTCTTTTAACTTTTGCTGTGTTTATTATTTCCATCTTTCAAGCTAAACTCAATTTCAGTACCTTTTGAGCAAAGTCAGCTATCATTTCTTAATACTGCTACTTTTTTAAGGTAATCTGCATTTTTAGCTCTGGCTATTTTTAAGATTTTCTCTTTACCTTTGTCAGTGGTTCCATTATGTATCACTCTGTAGAGTTTTATTTGTATTTATCCCATTTTTGACCCATAGAGATCACAAAACCCATAGCTTAATAAATTTCATGTGTTGTAAATTCTCAGGCATCATCTTCTCAAACATTGTTTTTGCCCCATTCTCTCTCTACTCTCCTTCTGGAAATGCAGCTGCATTTAAGTTACCTCTTTTTACCAAATGCTGTATGTCTTTTCTCTTTTCTATATTTTTTCAATCTTTCATTCTTCCATTTTTCTGTATGTCTTATGCTGGTTTGTCTTTAATTCATGAATCTTCTTTCAACTATACACAAGCTATTGTTCATTGTATCCATTAAAGGTCAGTGGGTTATTTATCTTCTTTTTCAGTTTCTAAAATTTTCATTTGGTTCCTGTTAGTTTTCCATTATTTTCCAAAACTCTTAATCTTTTCTTTTAATTTCTTGAACATGTTATTCACGCTTACTTTATAGTCCCATATGTTTCTCTTTTCTGCTTCTTCCCTTGGTTTTCAGACACCTTTTATATTCTCTTACGCCTGTGTATTCTTTATCATGTGATAGATATTTTATATGAAAAGCTGTAGAGATAATTTAAAATTCTAGAGGATGACATCTTTCTTCAGAAAAATCTGGTTCTGCTTCTAATAGAAAATCAGGTTAGGGTCACCAGCAATCTCAAATCACCCTACTCTAGTTAGGAACTGAAGTGGTTCAAGGATGGGCATCTGTCACCATCAAGGCTGGTTTATTTTCAGTTTATCACTTCTCATTTCCAATTCACCACTTGGCCTATACTATCACCCTTTGGGGTCTCCTTTAAAGCTGAAGGGTGCCTGAACTCCAGGTTTGGTCTTCTAAGCCTCTTCAGTTAATTGATAACTCTGATCCCAGCCTCTCTGCTTTTAAACCATCTGTTTAGGAATCAGCTATCACCTTGAAAGAGGAAAAAAGTCCCGAAGATAAGACTTTACCCTTCTGGACTTAAGTTTTTTTGACAGATCCTGACTACAAAATTCCTCACTGTCTTAGTAGTTCTTTGATGAATTCATAATATTATGTTTTACTTTTTTTTTTCATGTTTCTAGTTGTTATCAGTAGAAGAGTTGATCCAAAATAATCTTACGTACCAATGCCAAAAGCAGATTTTGCCAGCATTCTTTTTATGCAGGCTTATTTGCTAACAAATCCTAAGCTGTAACTAAAAGTTGAGAAATAAAATGAAATGAATTTTCACACACAAACACACACACACACACACACACACACACACACACACACACACACACTCCCAGCCACCAAAAGAAAAAAAGTTACCATGGAACATACAGAGGAATATTAAAGAACATGAGAAATGAAACATATCCCCCAAAATCTAAGAAGAACGAAAGATGTTCAAAAACTAATTATTTCAAAAATAAAACAAAAATTACAAAAACTATATGGCAACTCCATTTCAAAACTCTAAAAACATATATCTGAAGCCATTGAAGATGCAGGCTCATTTATAAGGTCCAAAAAATAAAGTTATATTACGTAAAGGGAGATGATTAAAATAAAGACTATTTTAAATTACTCTTCCAAGCATCATGGCAAAAACAAGTCTTGCACCTAAAACATAAAACTAAAAATGTAATAAAATTAAAATCTATACTTGAAGTAGTCACAACACAACATGACAGTCACTGCACAAAATTTAATGATGTATAGAGCCAATTTGATAACTCTTAAAACAAATAAACAAAGAGATAAAGTACAAAGTCATAAAAGTTGCTTTAAACTCTTTCAGATTATAACTCCTAACTAGGTGTAAAGCCAAACCAAACAAAATTAAATAAAAACAAAATATTAATAAAATTCAATCTAACATTAATTTTCTATGATGGATAACGTCATTTTGCTAAAACTAATCAATCTCACCCAAGACTATGGTACTAACTACAATGCTATAAATTATTTTGAGTCTAGTAGGACTACCTCACCAGATACCAAATGATGATTCCATTTTCCCCAACTTTCCCGTCTCTGAAATACTGTAAAATGGACATCACAGAAAATGATACAATGTATATCAATACCTCAATTGATATAAATGGATGATTTAAAGATTAGGTCTATTCTTTTACCTCTGTTCATTTGATATTAAATGGAAACAATGAAAACTACTGTGTATCAGTATAAATGCAAATTAAATTCAGGCATTGGAATTCAATGGTTATGGTTGGAATCGGTGTCCTCACCTAAATTTCATGTTCAATTGTAATCCCCAGTGTTGGAGGTGGAGCCTGGTAGCTGATTGGATCATGGTGGCAAAGTTCTTATGAATGGTTTAGCACCATCCCTGCTTAGTACTATATAGTGAGTGAGTTATCATGAGATCCGGTTGTTTAAAAGTGTGTAGCACCTGCCCACATCTTCCCATGCTCCTACTCCAGCCATGTGACATATGTGCTTCCCCTTTGCCTTCCGCCATGACTGTACGTTTCCTGATAAGATCTGGTTGTTTAAAAGTGTGTAGCACCTGCCCGCTCCTTCCCATGCTTCTACTCCAGCCACGTGACACGTGTGCTTCCCCTTTGCCATCTAACACAATTGTACTTTTCCTTAGTTCTCCCTAGAAGCTGAGCAGATGCCAACATCACGCTTCCCGTACAGCCTGCAGAACCATGAGCCAATTAAACCTCTTTTCTTTGTAAATTACCCAGTCAAAGGTAGTTCTTTATAGCAATGTGAGAACAAACCAAAGCAGGCAGTTTATCCAAATCATAAAGACATGCTTTTTTAGATTTAAGCATGTAGTAGGCTCCCTCTAGCCAAAGATAAAACAATTTGAGCATAAATAAAAACATTAACTGCAATGGACTAAAACACTTTAAATATACATATAATTGTAAGTTAACAATGATACTCAAGGGGTAAGTCATTGATCACAAGAAGATGTAGGAAACCAATTATTTTGGAAACTAATAAATAAATGAAACAAATAACAACTGAAGCTTTTAGTTTACATGAAAATTAAACACTAAATTTTAAAATTCTCACAGAGCTCTCTGAAAGCTTTTTGATATCTCTACTTGGAAAAACTCTGATTAGAAACAAAATGTAACTCAAGGTTAATGAACTGAAAAAGAAGGCATATAAAACTCTAAAGGATTAACTACACTGCAACCTAAATCTGTGAAAGAAGATCATCTGGGCAACAATGGGAACTCCAAATAACAGAAGTGATCATTGAAAACATTATAATTCAGGCCGCGTGTGATAGCTCACAGTTGTAATCCCAACACGTTGGGAGGCCAAGGCAGAAGGATCACTTGAGCCCAGGAGTTCAAGAAAGTCCGCCCAACATGGTGAGATCCCATCCCTACTAAAAAAGTAAAAAGTAAAAAGTATACAGGTGTGGTGGTACACAACTGTGGTCCCAGCTACTCAGGAAGCTGAGGTGGGAAGATTGCTTAAGCCCAGAAGTTCAAAGTTACAGTGAGCTGTGATTGCACCATTGCACTCCAGCCTGGGTAACAGAGTGAGACTCTGTCTCAAAATAAGTAAATAAATAAAAATTTTTTAAGTAGAAATATCATGATTCAGAAGGACCAAAGAAAAGCTTCATTTTCTTTCCTCAGCTGTACTCCTTTTTCACTTCTGCCCCCACTCCCATCTGCATCTTTCACACCCCATAGATACCTTTATTAGACGTTTCATTTTGTGGATGAAGTAAGATAATCTATATAAAATAATTAGAACAGCCTTAGGCAGATTTGTTTGTTCAGTAAATGATAGTTTTTATCATTATGATTAAAGGCAATGACAAAAGCAAAAAATAAATAGAATGATGAAATAGAATGCTTTAATCTGGAGAAGCTATTTAAAAGAGTGTGTCATTCCCTAAGAATCTATTTACAACTCAGATGGAAATATCTGTTGAGTTTATTTACTTCCTGAATAAACCACTTCCAGGCCGGGCGCAGTGGCTCATGTCTGTAATCCCAACATGCTGGGAGGCTGAGGCGGGCAGATAATGAGGTCAGGAGATGAAGACCATCCTGGCCAACATGGTGAAACCGATCTCTACCAAAAATACAAAAACTAGCTGGGCGTGGTGACGTGCACCTGTAGTCTCAGCTACTCAGGAGGCTGAGGCAGAAGAATTGTTTAAACCCAGGAGGCGGAGGTTGCAGTGAGTGAGATCCCGTCACTTCACTTTAGCCTGGTGCCAGAGAGAGACTCCATCTCAAAAAAATAAAAAATAAAAAACACTCCCTCAGAAAGTTCAGCATTATTCAACTCTAGGCCTATCACAGAGACTTGATGCCAATGGGTCCCTTATTGAAAACTGCTTTCTTAACATTACAATATTTACTGCTTTGGAATATGTCATACCTAACACTGGGTATATATAATGTAATTTCCCAATTGCCCAATTCAAAACAAAATTGCTACCATAAGTAAGGATCTAATATTCAACTGTAAAAAGTAGGACTATTCCCTGCTAATGGTTAACAATAATGTTTTCAATTTTTCACTAGTAAATTAAAAAGCAAAGACTCAATTCCCATCACTAACAAGGTAATGATTCTGAAACATTTCATGAGCTACTTAAATATACAAAGTCTGTAGACTTCCATCAGTCAAGTACATCATAAATCATAAAACTCCTTTAAGTACAAGCACATCCAAAATCATTTTTCAAATAAAAATGGTAGAAACTGTTATGAAAGAAGATATGTTTCCCTGTGTCCAATTAGCTTGCAACTACAAGTGATTATTGATCACTTTGTAAAAAGAAAATAACGAGTCATCAATTACAACTTGGAGTTATGTGACAATTCAATACAACACAGATATGTATAAAACAGTCATTATTCCTTTGTGTTTCCAATGATGGGTATATATACAATGAGATGAAAAGACTAAAATCACATGGTATGCATACCTGTCGTTGGAAACATGAAGGAATAAATTTAATTGGTTTTCCAAGAGTTTACAGGACAAGAGTAAGCAATTCCAAAGGAAGGAAAAGTAGAAGATAGAATTAGCAACACATCAATTAAAAACACATTATTAATTTTATTCCTGAACTCTGGAGTACATTTCTTTCTTACATCCCCGTGTAAAATAAGTATAAACTAGAACATCCTCAAAAAGGCAATTTTGAAATATCCAGCAAATGTTTAAATGCACATATCCTTTAACCCTGCAATTCTACCTCCAGTAATCCTACAGGATTACATGTGTGTGTGTGTGTGTGTGTGTGTGTGTGTGTGTGTATGTGTACAATAATGGTCATTGCTATAATGTTTATAATAAAAAGGAAAAACTAGTTGCATCCAAACTATGGAATACTGTATAACTGTTCAAAACAATGAAGTAGTGCTATACAAAGTTACATGGAAAGTGATATATATTACTAAATTTTAAAAAGTTGTATAACATCATATTTAATATGATTCCATTTAAAACAAATCACATATATGCTTGTAAATATATAGAAAGTGTTTGGAAACAAGAAGCTCTCAAAATTGTTATCTCTTTTGAGTGATGCTCAAAGGGAGGTTGGACAGAATTGGAGGCCATTATCCTAAGTGAAATAACTAAGGAATGAAAAACCAAATACCACTTGTTCTGACTTATAAATGAAAGCTAGGCTATGTGTACATAACAGAGTGGTATAATGGACACTGGAGACTCAGAAGGGAGGATGCTGAGAGTGGGGTAAAGGATGAAAAACTATCTATTGGGTACAATGCACCCAAAAGATACACCACTATATAATTCATCCATGAAACCAAAAAACCGCTTGCACCACTAAAGCAATTGAAATTTTAAAAAATTATGAAGGAGCTTTGAGAGAAGAGTTTTCTGGGTTTTGTTTTTAACAATGAACACTTATTACTTTAAAATAAACCATCCTTAAAATTCTTAACTCTGCATGAGAGGTATCTCCAAGTTTACCAAATCTCCATCAAATCCATGTCTTGAATTCTTCTCTCTCTGATGTAAAGCCTTCAAATTTAAAGAATCTAATTTATATAAGCTATTTAGCAATCTATCTGACAAGCTAACCTAAATTTTTTTTTTTTAAACCAAGTCTTGCTCTGTCACCAGGCTAGAGCACAGTGGCGCAGTCTCAGCTCACTGCAACCTCTGCCTCCCAGATTCAAGCAATTCTTCCACTTCAACCTCCCAAGTAGCTGGGACTACAGGTGCGTGCCAAATGCCCAGCGAATTTTTGTACTTTTAGTAGAGACAGGCTAACCTAAATTTAAACTATAAAACCATAAAGTGGTTTAACATCTAAAACACTTCATAATGGTTATTTTCTCTATCTCACATCCCCGTTCCCCAAAACACCTCACTCCCAAAAAGGTGGGTAGGAGAAAATGCAAACACATGTAAACCTTCTCACATGTTCTATAGCGCCCGCCTGTCCATTACTGTATTCTCGGTATCGTCCAAGCATCTGGTCCACTTGTCGCAGATTCCGACTGGTATCCTTGAAGAAGAAAATGGACTGAATTAACTTTTCCAAATACTGTTTTTCCCAATCAATCTTAGTAGCATGTCAATCAACTAAGTCGACAGTTTATAAAATGTACAACTTATATCATGGCTAAGTTGAGTATCAATGTACTTCACACATATTAAATCTTCACACCACTGAGAGAAACTCAAATCCAACTGCAATTTACTTGTGTGAAATCTGAAGCACATAACATACATCCTCAAGGTTCCCTAATACGTCAGCAATAAAACCATAAATTCTCAGAATCAAAATTTTTAATTTTTGCCCCTCAACTAATTCACACCCTCTTTATAGAAAAGGAATCCTGAAAGAGCAAATCTAGTGGACTGTGAGCAAGAGAAAAAAATCTTTAAGATCAATGTTATTTCAATTATTCTTTTACCTCAGAACTTGATGAGAAGGAAAAAAGTATCCTTTAATCTGAAAGCATTAAACAACAAATTTTAATCACAATAGAAATGGTTCTCATCTAAATATGCTAGATTTCACCTGAGAGGTTAATCAAGGTATTTCCTTCAAAAATATATACTTACTAACGTGTCTCATTGTTGGGAAAGTACAAGACTTCATACTTGAAAATTCCACTGTTATTTTACTTTACTTACTTTCACTTACTTTACTTACTTAATGATGGAAAAGGGTCTTGCTCTGTCACCCAGGCTGGAGTGAAGTGGCATGATCATGGCTCACTGCAGCTTCAGCTTCCTGGGCTCAAGCAATTCTACTGCCTCAACTTCCCGATTAGCTGAGACCACAGGCACACACAACTATGCCAAGCTGTATTTTTTTTCTAATTCATGTATAGACAGAGTCTAAGCATGTTGCCTAAGCTGGTCTCAAATTCCTGGCTCAAGTGATCCTCCTATCTCAGCCTCCCAAAGTGCTAGAATTACAGGCATGAGCCACCATGCCCAGCCCATCAGGTTACTTTAAATAAATGTAAAAAGGATAGGTCTTCTGATTTTCAAATCGAAGCATGGCCTCGCCATGAGAAATTATCCTCTTCTTATCTAGGCATACTAATCCAAAGCAATTAAAAGCCAAAATCTATGCTTATCCAGGCTAAGGCAAAGGTAAGGGATTAGTGAGCAGGAAATAAATTCTAAGTTTTCTTTCCCCGGTACAGCTGTGGTAACCTCCCCCACCTCTTTTCTAAAGCCCTTTCTAAGAAAAGGAAGCAAACTGCCTCAACTCAAACCTCCAAATACTGGCAAAACTTAGCCTCTAAATCAAAATGGTATCTCTTTATTTTCATCCACAAATAATCTACCTCACCAAAACATCAGCAATTTCTCTAAAGCAGGCGTCGGCCCGCGGGCCGCATGCGGCCCCCTGAGGCCGTGTATCCGGCCCCCCACCGCACTTCAGGAAGGGACACCTCTTTCATTGGTGGTCAGTGAAAGGAGCACAGTATGTGGCAGCCCTCCAATTGTCTGAGGGACAGTGAACTGGCCCCCTGTGTAAAAAGTCTGGGGACGCCTGGAAGACCCATGCCCACAAGAAGCTAAATTACCATCATTTCTACTGGTTTCACTCTCAGAATACTTTATTTGGAAATGCTGCTTTAACCTAAAACACTCTCCACCACCTATCATATATTTCAAATATCTTTACTGACTGTCATAGGCAGAATAATGGCCTTCAAAGATACCCAAGTCCTGCAACCTGTATTTGTATACCAAACAGGACAAAAGGGATTTTGCAAATGTGATTACATTGAAGACTTTTAGATGTAGAGTTTCTCCTCGATGATTGGGTGAAATCATAAGCATCCTTAAAAGAAGAAAAGGGAGGCAGGAGAAGTAGAATCATAGGATGTGAGAAGGGCTTGACCCTCCCCTGCTGGCTTTGAAGATGAAGGAAGGCAGCCACAAGACAAGAAATGTGAGCACCCTCTAGAAACCAGAGAAGGCAAGGCAATAGATGATTCCCTCAGAGCTTCCAGAAAGGAGCACATCCCTACCAACACTCTGAGACCCAATGAGACCAGTGTTGACTTCTGATGTACAAAACTTTAAGATAATAAATTTGTGTTGTTTTAAGACATTAGCTTTGCAGTAATTTGTTACAGCAGCAAGAAAACTAATCAACTGACTGAAACTATTAAGCAGCTCAAACTATTTAAATTCTATTAAATGCAACCATTGTGAAACTAACCTGTAAAGTACTTGTTATAGTGTTGACCTTCTCAGTAACTTCTACTGTAGGAAGACTTCGAGTTCCCCTGTGAGTTGATCTGGCAGCCCATGCACTCAATCGGTCACGATAGCGGAAGTGATCGGATTCGCTCGAAGATTCTGCCATTGATGTACACAAATGCTTCAAAATAAATATAGGTTATTGAAGGTTAATGAAACAGTAAAAAGCATGAAAATAAAAGACTAATACGTTTACTTAAGTTCTCTTTTCTGTGTTTAACATATTAGTGATTTTGCAAACTGTAATTTCTACACATAGCTTCAAAATACAAGAAGACATTTCCCCGTATAATCCTCCCTCCTTCATTTTCTCTGCTTTAAGGGAGCAATTCCTCAGATATAATTTTGGTCATGTTTACAACTCCAACAATAATAATCCCTTGGATTCATGCAATGCTTCCAAATTTTGAAAGCATTTTCACATTTAGTACCTCACTTAATCCTATCAACAACACTGTAAGGTAGATGAGAAAAACAGAAATTCTCAAAAGTTAGGACCTGTAGGTATCATAATATTCGTCTAATGTCCATTCTACTATAAGAACACAGGTACAGACACACAGCATGACCTATGATAAGACATTCTCATTCAGTGTACATTGACAACTCTAATGCATCTTGATTTAAAATATAGTAGAATTAAACCAATGCTGTAATACGGTACAAATTCTGCAATAACAGATACGTGAGAAGATGCCATCTTCAGCATCTCCACCAAAATAGAAAGCCAGAGATCCTGAGTATATGCATCAGTTGATAACTCTCTAAACATGCTTTTCTCTCATCCTTACCTCAATTTTTTATTTAATGCATTAAAAAATTATTTCATGTAAGAGAATCTCAAAAGTTTCAGGAAACCTTTTAACAGAAATTGAAGAAACTAAGTAAGTTCATAACAAAGAAGCATCAGAGAAACTCAACTGATTAAAAGTGAAAGTATACTCAGTATCCCAATAATTTCATTTTCTACTTAATGGTGGGTTAACTTTAACATTAATTGCTAGAATCTTTCTAAAATCTATATGGCCATTTTTCTGGGTGATTAAATATAGTGTGATAAAACATTTCTTGAATGACAGACTATCTTAGACTTCCAGGACTTTTATTTTGAATGCATCTAGAAGTACAGTGACCATGTATTTGAGGAGAAAATAAAGAGAACTTGCCAAACATGTACATGTCCTGGGGCATTTAATGAAAGCAACTGTGTTTTTAAGGTATTAGATGAAATATAACTACACAAATAAATAAACAAGTAAGAACCCTTGCCATAAGCTTAGGGTTTTGTTTTGTTTTTTTTTTTAAAGGAAATACAGTCTGTTACTGCTGTATCAAAAAAAAAAAAAAAAAAGAAAGAAAGAAAAGAAAAGAAAAGAAAAAAGAAAGGAATCTCCAGCCTGGGTAACAAGAGTAAAACTCCATCTCAAAAAATAAAGAAAGAAAGAATCAATGAAATAACCGACTTCTTCACGTTAGCTAAGACAGTGTTAGAAAACATCCTGTCGAATACCCATGCTTCTCCTCTGCCCAGGGCTCTTTACTTTCTTCCGTATCTGCCTTCTGGAAACTAGACTGAAGTTAAGAAATCATCAGGCAGAATCAAAAGTTAATATTGAATAAGACAATGTGCTTACTATAGTAGTTGTTAATGAGAACAAGGAACCAAAAAACTATCTTTGAGAACTTGATATTTCTGAGTATCAAAATTTTAATAATAGTTATTTGCAGACAACTTCACCAGATGTAAATGACATGTCAGACACTTCTAATACATAGACAACGTGAGTTTCAACATGACTAAAACTAGTTATAACTGAATTTTGGGGAAAATATTTAAGCTATAAAATAGTACAGACTAATAAAGTAAACATGCATGTATCTACCACCAAGAACTAATAAATATTATCATTCTGACATATGTACATATGTGAGTTTTTAGTAAAATATTTAGAACACTGTAAATAAAGTGTTAGTACCTTCCAACTACCCCCTCTTCAGCCAGTACTACTCCTGCCCCATTTTCCCAGGGATAATCACTAGCATGATTTCATGTATAACTCTCTAGCCTATATTTTTATACTTTTCCCACAGGCATGGGTATCTCAAAGTCTTTGTTTTTATAGAACACACAATGCACTGATTGATAAATATTAACAAGTAAAGATATGGGGGTATGTGAATTTAAAGCAGAAAATCTAATTGGTATTCAATAAAATTAAGAACAACATAAACTATATTATCTCCAATTGTCATATAATACAAGAAGAAAGAATGATCTCTCTTATCCCCACTAAGATTACATACTCTTAGTAAGACAGATTCATACTTTCCAGCATGAGTTTCACTAGTACACACATACAAAGTCTTCAGATATGAATTTCAGTTACTTTAAGCAATAAAAGATATTCAGACTCTGGCATCTGATGGAACTCCTGCAGACATATCAAGATTTCAGGTGAGATATCTGAGAAATCCACACGGCTTTTTTTGAGCATATGAAACGTTCAGCAACTATCTAAGTACTTTAATCACATAAGTTTCATAAATGTTAAACTAAGTAAAATTTTAAAATCTCATTATAATAGAAAATAGAAGTTAGATTATTTTCATTGTTGATAAAAATCTGGTATTGTCTTCCACTATTACTTGACAACACAAGGTCAAACATGACTCTCATAGCTAATTGACAAAGCACCTAACTAACCCCTCAAACCACAACACAAAAGGCAGCTACGGTGGCAGAAGTCCATCCTTACTGAGAGTCATCAGTCTATCATCAGCCAACACCACTACACCGCAGACACAGGATTGATGGAGGGAGAAACAGATAAGAATGGAGTGGCCGCTCACTGTTCATAATAGCCAAGACTTGGAACCAACCCAAATGCCCATCAATGATAGACTGGATAAAGTAAATATGGCACATATATACCATGAAATACTATGCAGCCATAAAAAAGGATGCATTCATGTCCTTTGCAGGGACATGGATGAAGCTGGAAACCATCATTTTCACCAAACACAAGAAGAGAAAACCAAATACCACATATTCTCACTCATAAGTGAGAGTTGAACAATGAGAACACATGGACACAGGGGAGGGGAAGATCACATACTGGGGCCTGTGGTGGGGTGGGGGGGCTAGGGGAGGAAGAGCATTAGGAGACATACCTAATGTAGATGACGGGTTGATGAGTGCAGCAAACTACCATGGCACATGTATACCTATGTAACAAACCTACACTTTCTGTATATGTACCACAGAACTTCAAGTATTAAAAAAAAAAAAAAAAAACAAAGAATGTAGTAGCCACTGAAGTTAGCAAGAGGCTCACACCACATAATCAGAACCTACAGTAGAATGTGTGGAGGGCCATGAAAATCCTGAGAGCCCCTTAAAACAACTGACTCAAAAAGAAAGGTACAAAGCAGCAAGCATCAATTATACACTCTTCTTTTGTCATTAACAATGTATTTTATACTATAATTAAAAATTAATTTTATAAAAGAATGGCAAATAGTAATATCATTGGCATTAATGAAAACTGACCAGGTCTCTGAAAATATTTTCCTCAATTGAAGTTTACCTATTAGTTCATTGTATATTAATAAAAATATATTGAGAGTGGTCACATAAGAAAAAAAATATTCAGGGCCATGAAAAAGCATTCAACCCAATAATCTAAGAAACATAATTTAAACAATGAGATGCTTTTTTAGACTATGTAGTTGTTTTCTTTTAAATGATAATGTCTATGGTTAGCTAGGTTGCAGGGAAAGGAGCACTCCTACACTTTCCTAATGCGAACATGTAAAGTTGAACAACCTGTCTGGAGGTCAGCAGGTAATAAGTATCAAGAAGAGCTTATACCTTTGCCCTAGTAATTACACTTTCAAAAAGTTATCCTAATAAAGTCATCTAGTATACACACTGAAATTTATATACAAGAATATTTACTGTAATAAAGGGAAAATAAAAACTCAAATTTCAAAATACAAGAATGGTTAAACTATCGTACATCTATACAATGAACACAGACATTTAAAAACCCATTTCTGTAGAACACTTCATGACAAAGCTTGGGTTGAAAGTATGAATTCCAATTTCATAATAAATGTTATATGTTATCTGGATGTGTATATAAATTACCAGTTCTAAGGTTTCAATGTCCTCTCCAAAATTCATGTTGCAATTTAATCCCCAGTGAGGCAGTATTGAGAGGTGGGACCTTTAAAAGGTGATTGGGTCAGGAAGGCTCCTCCCTTATGAATGAATTAATCTATTCATGGAGTAACGGATTAGTAGGCACTGGTGGTTTTATAAGAAGAGAAACCAAATACGTATGCTTGGCCCCCTCAACCTGTGAAACCCTGTGCTGCCTCAGGACTGTGCAGAGAGTCTCCACCAGTAAGAAGGTTCTCACCAGATACAGCCCCTCAACACTGGACTTCTCAGCCTCCATAACTGAAAGAAATAAAGTCCTTTTCTTTATAAATTACGCAGTTTCAGGTATTATAGGCAACAGAAAATAAGTGAAGACAACCAATGTATAAATTTAGAGGCAGTGGGGAAGGGTAGAGATAAAGAAGGAGCAGGGAAAAACAACGAAAATATATTTACTATCCAGAGTTTGTAGCTGATTTGTGTTTTCAAAAACATTCCTATATTTCATGAATTTTTCTACAGTGATTTACATTAATGTATAATCAGAGAGAAAACTACAATGTATACTTAAAAGAAACAAAAACAAATACGAAGATCTCTTTGGAGATAGCAGGTTAATAGGTTAACAGTAGATTAACAAGCGGTTGACCTGAAAATTTTGATTAAATAAAAGCTCTATATTCAGAACTTTCATTTTCTTGATAACTGTGTCCTTTTCCTCCCTGGCAACATCTTTACCTTATTTCCCAGTCCCCTGGCATCAATCTAGGTAGAGCTATGCCACTAGTTCTCACCAACTGATGAGCTGAAGAAATGGGATCACAGTGGCAATTTCTACTATTTCATACTGAAGAGCATTTGCTGACCAAAGGAGGCATTTATCATGAGTTTAAAGAATTTCTTTTAATTGTATATCATTTTCTTTTTGTAGTTTTACTGAAGGACAGTTACTAAAT